CGTGAGAAGAAACTGAAAATTAATAGAGAATGGCTTTTTCGATTTTTTTATGTTGACAATTTTAGGAAATCTTATGAATTTACCTTTTATGCCTTTTATGAAATGTTTCCTACAGAACAGAAGAAGAACTATTCAATATTTCAGTGTAATCAATTTTTTCTGGTTTAGACCGCTCTCTCAGAGCTTTCAAACAGACATTTTCCATCGTAAATCTTCTTTCGGTGAACTATGGCGAAGACAAAAAATYGTTTTCGTTTACTTTATCGGTATTACCAAACTTATGCATGATGGGATAACCTTGGAGATTAATGACATATCTGCGGTAACACACTCATCAATAACAAAGATGGCGACTTTTATCAAAGGGAAAGGAGTAAATTAAAAAGACCATTTTTAAATTCATGTTTATTCATTAACGACTTACGAAACAATCAATGAAATATGGATAGTTGACAGTTCCAAGTAAGTAATTAGTGATTTATTTGGTCTACTATTACGAGCATTTGAATCGTCACGCAAACCAAATATTCTCGTCACAGCCAAAACTAGTGGAGTGCACGTACATCAAAAAAGAGTCATGTTCAAGTCAGCCAGTCAAGAAGAAAAAGAACAGTTTATGCGAAAAGCAGTGGAAATCAGTGAAGAAGGCGCATCCTCTGGGCTTGGACTACCATTTGGGGCTGTAATTGTTAAGGATGGCAAAGTTATTGGTACGTTCCATGCATCTCTATGGTAATGGTGTCCTTACCTAACACTGGTCAAGGTAATCCGCGCTAAAGCAAAAAGAAAATGAAGACTTGTAGAGCGTCCTTTTAATCAGTTAATATTCTAGCAGCTAAGAATTCTTAGGATTTTGATTTACATTCGTCAATTAAGACGATGTCTGGGGCTGCCATGCAAGCATCTCGTCTTCGTCTTGACCTTCTTGAATTCCAAAAGACTAGATCCCGAGTCAGATATTTTTTTTGCCCATTTTCGGCGCCCTCCTCGCCATCTAGCTTAAATTCAAGCAAACAAGTTTGTTTTTAATGTATTTTTTTTCTAATTTGAACAGCCGAGAGTCCAAATCGATCTCTAATTGACTATGACCCAACCGCCCATGCAGAGGTATCTGCGATACGCAAGGCTTGTAAAGAACTGAAGACTATAGACCTGACAGGCTGTCACATCTATACCAGTTGCTATCCTTGTAGGATGTGTATGGCTGCCATCTACTGGGCAAGGTATGAAATACAGTATAGGGTCATAGAGGAAGGTACAGCGTGGGTGGGTGCACCTTTCAAATAAGGGAAAAGGGCTTTAACTATAACCTATGCATGTGGCCACTCTATAACACCGACTTGTAATACGATCGTGCATGTTTTAGGCTTGAAGCAATCTTCTACGCAGTATCTATGGAAGAGTACTCGCAAGCTGCTAACTTTAATATATGGACTAAAATGATGACAGAAGATGAGGTGAAGCCTAACGAAGAGAGGACAATTTATCGTGAATGGGTCAGTTCCTACGCTGAAGCGGCAAAGAAAGTTGGGGAAGAATGGTTACTCAAGAAAGAAAAAGCAGAAAAAGCTTAGCGTAATACCGTAGTGAGCGTTTGATGGCGAGGCGTAATAACAAAGAACTGGTAGAAAAATGATTTTCGATATAAAACTGATTATGTGAACTTTAGTTCTTATAGATAAAGAAATTAAAATTAGGAGTGGCTTGCATGTTATTGTCTCCAAAACTAGTGTCAGATATATATTGTTACAGACTGCGAGCAGTCCTCTTATCTCCCTTAATTAGACCAATCTTAACTTATGCATGCGAGATTTGGAGTGTATATCAAAAGCACGACTTTGAAAAATGGGACAAAAATCCGATTGAAAAAGTTCAACTACGTTTTTGTAAATATTATCTTGGCGTAAGTAATAAGGCTTCGAATATTGCTTCA